ACACAATCGCCAACCACCAAACATGCTTGAATTTGATTTTGATTTTGATTAAAAAATATTCAATTCAATTCAATTCTTGATTAAAATTCTTATCAATTTAATTTCCTTAAATTTTTTTTTTCTTGATATTTTGTCGAAAAAACATTCTTAAAATCAAATAAAATCTTTCCAAAAATCAAAAGAAAAAACAGGTGTTTTGTCTGATCTATCAACTAAGATGTTATCATCAACATCAAGGTTAATTTCTTTTTTTCTTTGTAATTGAATATAACACGAATTACCTGCCAATGATAATTGAGAAGATCAGTTTCTTTTGGAGTGGATTTTAATCTGATAACATTATTTGTTAATGGATTTTTAAAAAAAAATGTATATAAAAGTTTGATTGAAAATCCATCTTGATCACTCAATATTGATTGACAAATTATCATTACAAAAACAAACAAACAAACAAAACAAAAATTCTGAAAAACAATGAAATTTTTAATCTATTCATTGGCAATCGTTGCTTCAGCATTTCTTGTTTTCGGTAATCATTTTTTCAAAATTATTTGCTTGCTTTATTTATCAACTTTTGTTTTAGGTTTCGAAATCGAAAGCGGACAATATGAAATTGCTGATGCATTGATTAAACATTCTGATACGTTAAAAAACTGTACCGAAAACTATATACTAAAATATCTAAATCATTCTGAAGAAGATTCCAATGTAAAACATTTAAAAATTGATATACATCTTGTTGATGTTGTTTCAAATGAACTTTATGACATGTTATTTCATATGAAAAATGAAAATATAACCGAACATCAATTAAGTCATTTTCTTTTATTAAAATTGGAATTATTGGTTTATGGAAATCGAGTGGAAAAGGAAATTTATCATTTAGAACATTCAAATGAAAATTTAACTACTAATAATGATTTTGATCTTGAAATCAAAAATGAACGATATGAAATAGCTGATTTATTGCTTAAACATGCTGATATGTTGAAAGAAATGGCGGAAAAAGATATTCAAAAATATCAAAATTTTCCCGAAGATCATTCATCAATCATATATTTGAAATATGATATACAACGTATTGAACATTTTTATGATTATGTTCATAATAATTCTCGTATGGAAAACATTGATGAAGATGTATTACATCATTTTCATTATATGGAAAAAGAATTATTAACATTGGAAAATCGAATTGAAAAAGAAATTTTTCATTTGGAATATCATCATCATCATCGACAACATGAAATCATCGCTGGTGATAAAGATGCTTTATCAATTTAATTTCCTTAATTTTTGTTTCTTGATAATCAAAATAATTAAAAAAAACAACAATTGAAAAACAATGAAAACCTTGAGATTAATTTTGATTTTTGATGATTTTCATTATTATTATCACTTGTTGATCCTAATAATCATCTCAAATCAAGTTGATTTTTTTGTTTTGTTTTGTTTTTATCGACATTGTAATCTGTATTGAGTATATGAGTAACAATAACACTTGAATCTCACGTAACAAAAACAACAAAAACAACAACATTTTAATGTTGTAATGTTATGTACCCAATGTACCAATTGTACCGATCAATCAATCAATCAATCGATCGATCGATCAAATTATTCATTGATAATGGATCCAAAAGGAATATAATATAAACACAATGTCCCTAGCCATTGGATCATCATTTTCGTTTGATTTATTATTGAAAAAATTTATTGACAATCCGACAAAACAAAACTCGAAACAAAAATGAAGCTCATCTCTATCTTGTTGATTGGAACTTTATTCACCGTTGCAATCGGTAATATATGTTTGTTATTTTGAAATTTTGAATTTTAATTTAACACTTTTACAATCCTAAAATAGCGGCCAGCATTCCTGAACCTGAAAATGGTATCAGCAAAGATGAATTAATCCATCATGTTGAAAATCTAATCTACGAATCACATAATCAATTGTCCAACCATAAACATACTGAACAAAATCATAAAGCTGTTGAAGAAATTTATGAAATTATCGATCATCTTAAAGTAATTCATGGTCGATTAGAACATGGATTGAATGAAACAACATTGAAATTTGAAGAAAATTTGATCAACAATTATGATCGACGATTAAATGAATTATTTAAAAAACTATAAATAAGAGATTATTATCAAATTATTGAGAGATTTTCAATTATAAAATGAGATTATTTTAAAATAAAATTTTTATGATTTTTTCCCCCATTGAAAATATTGCATCCATTATTAATTTTGATCAGTATTATCATTGATCACTTGATTGTCTCAGGGATTAATTAATTAATTAATTAATTAACCGGTTTAAACCGATTCGATAATTACCTGATTACCTGGTTTTTTTTATCATCAACTAATCAACCATAAGGCTGTTGTATTGTCTTTTTTTTTCTTATAAAAGATAGGAATCATTACAAAAAATCTCTCTATATAAATCTCTACTTTTTTTTTCATTATTCTCCTGGTCTTTTTTGTTCTTTATTCTGTTTGTTTTGTCTGTTTAAAAGTTAAATAATTGAAAACAAAAAAATGAAATTCTTAACATCATCATCGTTTATATTGTTGGCCATGTTTGGCATAACATTGGGTATGTTATTGATTTTTGATTTTTTTTGGTTGAATTAAAAAACTTTTGCCTTTGAAAATTTTTTGTTCCAGCCTATACCGTTCCAATTGCCAATGATGGTCGTGATGATTTGGTTAAAAAATGTGAAGATTTAATCAAAGAAGCACAAGATGCTTTGCATAAATATCAACCAAATCAACGTAATCATAAAGATAGAGAAATGTTGGAAAATGAAACATTTAAACTACATATGTTGATCGATATAATACGTGAACATAAAGATGATTCAAATTTACAATATGTAACATTAGAATATAAAACATCGAAAGCTAAAATTGCTAAAATGATTGAAAAATTGATTGACGATGAGAATGAAATTACAACAATGCCAACAACAACAAAAACAAAACCAACAACAACAACAAAACCAACAACAA